TATATATATATATATATATATAATTATATTTTATAAGGGTCAGACAATCATTAGGTAACATACAATCTTAATTTCATCAACTGCTGGCCTACACTGTAAAACTGATTTTTCTAAGTTGTAAATAAAACAAAGATTTTTGGAGAATGTTTTAAAAAAACATTTCAGTCTTTCTTCTTTTCTCATGTTTAATTCAATATGTAACTTGATGTTTTTCCTTGTAGTTAATTGTGAAATTTACTAGCAACTTCTGAGTGAAAATAATTTTGGTAGCTTTGAATTGGTAACCAGTTTCTGGTGAAATACAATAGTTACTACAGCTATTGTTACTATTGTAAAGCCACAAAAAGGACAAGTTTTACAGACAAGTACAATGGCAATCATGGTGCATGAATATGGTAATCATTCAGTATCATGGTATATACAAAACTAGACTAACAACACTTTTAAATAAATAAATTAAAAACACATCTATAATATGGATAACATAATATCTATAATATAATATCGAAAACATTTAGATTTCTTTTAACCAGTGTAAAAAGCTATTAAAATATTTGTCATTTTGTTTAGTTTTCTGACGTCAGTGGTGGCTATTGCCAAGTTACAAGTTATATTGTACTAACTGTATCAACTATGGTATCTTGGCTGTGACATGTATTAATGACAATGAATGTGATATTGAATTAATACTGTAATATTGAACATTGTATTATTTGTCCTTTTTTTTTTTTTTTAGGATTTTTCAGAACCTATTTCAGTCACTTCTATCAGATATATACAGTGCCTTGCGAAAATATTAATACCCCTTCATTTTTTTTTACATTTTGTTAAGTTGCTGCCTTATGCTAAACTGCTTTAAGTTACTTTTTCCCCACATCAAACTACACTCCATACACCATAATGGTAAAACAAAAAACAGGTTTTTAACATCTTTGCAAATTTATTAAAAATAAAAAACTTAAATGATTCCATTGCATAAGTTATCTGGGACAGTTGAAATTTAGCTCAGGAGCATTCTATCGCTTGTAGATGTTACTACACTTCGAGTGACGTTAACCAGTGGCAAATTCAATTGAGTGCGTATGATTTGGAAAGGCACACACGTCTTAATAAAAGGTCTAACAGCTGATAATGCATATCAGAGCAAAAACCAAGCCAAAAGAACTGCCTGTAGAGCTCAGAGACAGGATTGTGTCAAGCCACACATCTGGGGAAGAGTTCAGAAAAAATTCTGCTTCATTGAAGGGTCACAGAAGCATGTAGTCTCTGTTACCCTTAATGGAAGAAGTTTGATACAACCAGGATTCTTCCTAGAGCTGACCTCCTGGCCAAACTGAGCAATTGATGGAAAAGGGTCTTGGTTAGAGTGGTGACCAAGAAGCTGATGGTCACTCTAGTTGAGCTCTATGATCATATGTGGAGATGGGAGAAACCTACAGAAGGACAAATATCACTGCAACACTCCACCAATCTGGGCTTTATGACCTGCTCATCACCTGAAGAGTACCACCCCAAAAGTAAAGTGTCCTGGTAGCAGCCTCATGCTGTGGGGTTGTTTTTCAGCAGCAGGGACCGAGGGACTCGTCAGAGTAGAAGATAAGCTCAATGCACCAAATATATTGAGCTAGCCTTAATGAATGATGATGACCAAAGCTTGTCGCATCAAACAAAAAAGACTTGAGACTGTAAAGGTGCTTCAGCGAAATATTTAGTTAAGAGTATGAATACTTACGCAATGTACTTATTTCAGTTTTTTTATTTTTAATACATTTACGAAGTTGTGGCAATTCTGTTTTTGCTTTGTCAGTATGGTGCATGGAGTGTAGATTGATGTGGAAAAAAGTCATTTAAAGCAGTTTAACATAAGGCAGCAACATAACAAAATGTGAAAAAAATGAACGGGTATGAATAATTTTGCAAGGCACTGTATGTAAGCCCTGCCAGTCCAACTTTATAGCCAAACTATTTTTATTAGGATAAAGACTAGATGGGGTATGAATACTTTCGCAAGGCACTGTATGTGCCACTCTTAATAAATACATACCTGCAAAATAAAGAGTCTCGTGCTTCCTCCAAACTTCAGAACATGTCCCACTCGTAGCCTTATGTAACTTTTAGGTGGTATTTTGTTCTTATTCACAAAAGTCCCATGAGTGCTGCCCAGATCATAGGCATAGAAGCCCTTCTCCTCTCCTACGACCCCGTCCTGCCCAGCTCTGCCCCGGTACTGCACCACGGCGTGATAGCGGGAGATGGACGGATGCTCCAGAGACACATCACACACCGGCAACCGACCCACCACAAAGTAACTTCTCTGGGTCAGCGGGACCGTATCTAGGATCGCCCCGTTTTTCAGCAGCTCAAACGAGTAGCTGATGTTAGGAACAGATCCCCACGGGGGCTCGGTGTACGGGAGCGGAGGAAAATGACCCGCCGGGGGTAGTTTGGCAGGGATCTTAGGCCGGATGTCTTTTGGTTTGGGCTGGACCTTCTGTGCCTCTGATTTCTCGGACGATGGATGATCGCACGGGTCTGTTAGAGTGTCTGTGGGTTTTGCAGATAGTTGCTGGTGTTTAGTAACACGATCCGTGCCTTTATTCTCTGATATGCTGCTGCTTATTTCCTCTGTGAGTTTCTTGGTTGAGTGCAATCCTCCTGATTTCTTCACAGTGAGAGATGGAGCAACAAAAATGTCCGGTTTCTTAAAAGGAGCATCTGCGTTTTCATTAGTGCTGGAGATGTCCTGTTTAGTATCACCGGTTTGACCGTTCTCAGGGTCCGAGCTCATCTCTGTTTCCATTTCAGTGTGATTAGTTTCTATATGTCCGCTGCATTCAGACTCCATCATGTGTTCACTACACGATATGGTGTACCACTTTAATGATTCCGATCTTGTAGTCTAGAATTTGTGATATAGATTGATCTTATTTAGTTTATTACCATAAATGTATCAAAACATTTTTTAATAAGGATGTATATTAATTATTTGCAATGTATAGTTTTGACATTTTAAAGTTCGTATCTCTTATCTCCATTGTCTAGGAACTATTTACATTTTCCACGGAAACATTTCAGTGTTGTACCTCACAGTCGGTCGTCGTTCATACGTCGTTTTGGCGAAATTATAGATATTGCTTTATTTATTTTTTATTATTACTCGCCTTTATGATCATCTGCGCATAAAAGGTAAACTAAGCGATTTGTTATGATGATTATAATGATGATTATGGTTTATATGTGCCACATTACACACTGGACATTACAGGGCATCTAATGTGTAGTGTGAATGTAAAAGTTCAGAATTAAGTCTTTAAATACACAAAAGCATGACAGTTTGTAAAAAGAAAATAAACGTTGTATGTGCATTTTGTTGTATATTATAGTATATCAGTAATTTTCTACATGTCCCAAGTCTTTCAAAATCAAAGGAAATCATAATTTGCATAAAACCTAATCCTCAATTAGGCCTATATATATTTTTTGTACTTTTGAGTTTGTTTGTAATTGTTATTCTCATTGATTTCATTAGAATTGTCAGTCATCTTTGTAATATATTTATTTTGTTATGCAGACGTGTGTGGGGGATAGTTTGAAATATCACAGTGCGAAAATATATAAAATCTAAGTTTAAAAAAATATATATTTTGATATTTGAGGTAACCATTCATAACCACTACATGTGCATCAGGTGATTATTAGTGATATGGTTTTTCAAAGAAATATCACCTGAACAGTGTTTTCTGTGGTTCTCAGATTGTACCATTATCAAAGAAGCACTGAGTGACAGCACTGTGTGAAGATGATGTGTTATTGGGGCGAGCTCCCGGTGGCTTCAGCTCCCTCGGGCCGCAGTTCTTTTGACCTCCTGCAGCGCGAGTTCCGCCAGGTGGAGATGCAAGACCCTCCCCTGCACCAACCTTCTGCACAGCGTCCACGTCCCACCACCATGCTGGATATCCCCTCTGAGCCCTGCAGCCTCACAATCCACACTGTGCAGCTGAGCCAGCATGCTCGTCGTCTCCGGGGTCTCATTGCTGCTGCCCAGCAAGGCCAGCAACCCCTGTCCACATTATTAGATGCCCAGGGTGTCTTGAAACCCGAGGATGGAGATGCTCTACCCCCCCGGCCTGCCACACCAACTGTACCTGATGATCTGCTTCCACTGGATAGTAAAGCTCCTCGACAGCCATTCCAACTACGCCATAGTGACCCAGAGAGCGATTTCTACAAGTATGTCAATAGATCATCATGTGTATCGGTCACTGTTTGTCCTATCTATTAATTTATTCAAAAATATATGAAAATTCCAATCATACATACAGTGACCTGAATACACCTCTTCTAGGATGAGAACGTTTTTAATTTCTGAATTAAAATTGATTTTGATATTTTATGGGAGCATGAGTACATTTTTTTTTACAGATGTCTTGATATCATAATGAAGACAAAAATAGTCATGTAAAAAAAAAAACATTCTTGAAAAAATAAAATTATGAAATAGTTTAAAGCAAGATTTTATTCGTAGGGGAGAAAAAAAAAAGTGTCCAGGTCAGTTAGTAAATATAATTTAATTTGACCTCTCTGTGATGAAGCAAGCAAGGTTATTTCAGGTTGTAAAATGTTATGTGATGTATGTAACTACCCAAAACTTTCTTTCTTTCTTTCTTTCTTTCTTTCTTTCTCACACCCTTGTACGTCATTGACCCTGGTCTTTCTGTCTGTAAGGCCTATATTAAGCTCAAGCCTTTGTTTAGCAAACATTTAAATTTGTCTTAATGAACCTGTTCTCTAGATACAGTATCATCAGATACAGCCTATAAATTTAAACCTGAACATTTGAAATGCATCCCCTTTTGATTTTATAAAGAAAACTCCACACTTTATTGTCCTGTGATTCCTATTTGTCACTCTTTTTTTTTCTTTTTTTCAATTTCTCCACATCTCCCTCTTTTTAGAGGTAAAGGTGAGCCAGTCACTGAGTTGAGCTGGCCATCCTGCCGTCAGCTTCTGTACCAGTCGGTCGCCACAGTGCTCGCTCACATTGGATTCGAGTCGGCGAATGAGAGCGTGCTGGAGACTTTGACCGACCTGGCCCATGAACATTACCTGCGGATCACCAAATTGCTGCGCGTGGCTGTTGACAGGGAGGCCTGCCAGGGCTCTACACCCTTTCCTGATGTGGTGGAACAGGTATTCCATGAGGTGGGCATTGGCAGCGTCCTAGCGCTCCAGCGTTTCTGGCAGACCCGCATTAAAGATTACCACAGCTACATGCTGCAGGTGAGATATGTCCAATGCTATGCCAGCTTCAGTACCTACAGGACTGTATGTGTATGGAGCTTATAATATGACAAAACTAATTGAATTTGTATAGTGTAAATTGAATAATTGAATTATTGACAAGTGTCATTTAACAAAACTGAATATTATGTGGCATTTAACATAGTTCTGAATTAGATTTTATTTGAAATTTAACACAACTGAAATTGAACAGAAATTGAGATCGTAGAGACCGCTCAGATAAATGTTTCACATGCTGAGAATGCTAACCTAACATATAAGTATATAAACCATAAATGTTTAAGAATCACTTAGGCTACCTCTGGGCGATTCATGATCAGGTAGATCTTGAACCGCACGCTCATGCCAGATAACTACTAATTGGCCATAGGGATGTAATGATTAACCGCGAGCCGGTTGAAAATCGATTAAAATATGTGACGATTGAAATCGGTTGAGATGCTAAACAAATCGCGATTCAATTAGGGGTAGGAGTTTATATGAATGCAAGTGCTATATTAGTATATTATTATAGTGTTATATTTCAATTTTGCAAAAAAACATGCAGCATTTTGTCCAAGCAATAATAAAAGGACATATTTATTTATAATTTGGCTTAAATCTCATTTTGTAAAAAAAATAAATAAAAAAAATCGTGAATCGAATCGTGAGATCAAAATCGTGAATCGAATCGAATCGTGAGTTGAGTGAATCGTTACATCCCTAATTGGCCAAAATGCTTTGTTTGACTTTTTGGAGATCATCTACTCTTCCCTGTGGATTACCTCTGACCTACTTACTGTACGATCTGAATTTCTGCATATTAAATTTTAGAATATTGAATTTGATGTTCTGAATTTCCTCTTCATCTTGAAAACTTGAAGCTGTATTTTTAAAAACTGGGAATATTGAATTTGATGTTCCGAATTTCCTCTTCGTCTTGAAAACTTGAAGCTGTATTTTTAAAAACTGGATATGTGCAGTCTAAGATTTCAGAACAAAAAATTCGCTGTTTGAAAATACATGTATATAAAACTCTGCCATAAAAATATTCAGTTGTGTTAAATTTCAAATGTTTAATATTCAAGTAAAAAAAAAAAAAATCAAATTCAGAACTATGTTATTAAATGCCACATAATATTCCGTTTTGTTAAATGACACTTGTCAATAATTCAAATTTACACAATACAAATTCAATTTGTTTTGTCATATTATAAGCAGTGTTGGGGGTAATATATTACAAGTAACGTGAGTTACGTAATCAGATTACTTTTTTCAAGTAACTAGTAAAGTAACACATTACTTTTTAATTTACAAGAGAATATCTGAGTTGCTTTTTCAAATAAGTAACGCAAGTTACTTTTTTTTTTCAATTTATTGATTGACAGCTCTCCGGTCCCAATGTTGAGAGAAATCAGATGTTACTGTAGTTCTAAAATAAATATGAATATGCATTAATTCATCTCACTCACAAAAACACTGATTCAGTATTCCTCAAAATGAATAAAAATAATGCAACTCAGAATATGACGCAAACCTGCAATAATTAAATGTTAAACAACACAAATATCCTTTATGTATTTATTCCCATTCTATTAACCAATGTCTGTGCTTCTGACCTTTGATGATCCAGTTCAACCACACTAATAAGCAAAAATTACTCGACGAACATTTGTGCGTCTTTTTTTATTGCTGAAGTGTGTTGAAATTTCTTCTTCTGCATTCTACTGTACAGACGTAAATTTACTTTCCCTTCAGCCTGAGGCTTATTCATTTCACTTTTGGTGTGAAAAGGCTTTTATATTTGCCAAAAATAGAACTTTTTTTTTTTTAAAACAAACAAGCAAGCCCTGTCCAGATTTAAAAAGTAGCGCAAAAGTAACGTAACGCATTACTTTCCATAAAAAAGTAATGTAATTAGTTACTTTTTTTATGGAGTAATGCAATATTGTAATGCATTACTTTTAAAAGTAACTTTCCCCAACACTGATTATAAGCTCCATATATGTGTAGCTTTTATTTTACATTGTGTTTGCTTTGGCATTGTCTGACTAGTGTCGTCTTTGACTGTAGGTCAGTAAGGAGCTCTCAGAAGAGTATGAGAGACTCGTGAATCCAGAAAAAGCTCTGGAGGATTCCAAACCCTTGAAGGTTAAAGAGGAGCCAGTGAGTGACATTGCGTTCCCTTTAAGTGAGGAGCCGGAAGCAGATCTGGCCTCAGGTGACCAGGCCCTTCCCATCGGTGTGCTGGGCACATCCAATGAAAGACTGGTAGGAAGACTGGAGGAGGGACATTCCCCTCACACATCAGGTACCTCATACAGTTCTGAAGGATCTTTATTGGTGCTCAATCAAGTTGAAATGCTCAACAAAAAAAAAAGTAATTTAAAACATCATATGCAGTTCATTCATTTCATTATTCATGTAATTCTTATAATTTTATTATTATTATTATTATTATTATGATTATACAGTAATATTAACTAGGGAATAGACAGCTTTTTTGAAGTCTTGTTCAGTCATGGTTTCTTTGACACTTAGAAGTCTGTTTTTGCTACTGTACCTATAAGACTTCCTT